GCAACCTAAACACAACCGGCTGTGAAGCAGAGTGCAGATCTTGCGAATCGAGCGATTCGCCAGCGTCCGCGGCCGCGTCATAGCCAGCAAGTCGCTTGATTGCCTGGTACCGTAACGCAGCCGCGGATGCCAGCGAATCGCTCGATTCGCAAAGTTTGACATCGGAATAAGAGTAGCAGCATTTTCATACATAGATTGAAAAGCACTGTAAATATTTAATAGGGTTAGTAAATCCAACATAAATCTTCGCAGCACTAAATAAGCGTCAATACATTGTTTCACTTTTTCGCAGTTCGTCCGTGAAAATCCCCATCATCTATTTAATGAGCTAATTCTGACTGGTAAGAACGTTGGTGCAGCCATTTTTGTCTTACGTATAGCAAAATGGTAAAATTATGCAATAACGACCTTTTTGATGATAGCATAATAGTCATTTTACCTTAATTTAAACGCAGAGACAAAGGGAATTAGAATTTCAATGGCTTACACCTCGTCACTAAACTGCACCGCTGGTGCGCCCAAAATCACCGTAACTTATACATATAAGTACAAAGTGAACTTCTCTTTACAGCCCGGATGTAACTAGCCTACCTCTTTCCATGTCTTCTATGCAAATATCTCTCGAGCGAACGTAACTGCGAAGTGAAGGTCAACACCTACCGTTGAGACTTCCTTGAAAATTTTTCAGGCGAACCCCCTCCACAGCTTCTTCTTCCCCGCCGTCAACGTGGTGGGAGGGGGTATACATACCATGAAACCGTAATGAAACGGCAATTTTTTTCCCGCGCGCTCGCATCTCATCCCATATATTGTATATTATTTCAACGCGCGACAACACACAATTGGCAAATACGACCTCCCACCAGGGGTCAAGCGAGGCGTTGAGGAAAATTTGGAAATACGACCCCCCCCCCCCACCACCCTCCGCCGGAGGCCGAAGTCCATGAAACAACCCTCTTCAAAAGCCGAACTATGAAAAGGTTGAAAAGCTTGTTTAATTCTCCCCCAAAACTGCTCATAAAAAAGCCCTGCTACCCCACCGCCCACAAAAAAATTCGTTTAAGAAGTACAAAAGTGAAAAAGTCAAAGAATAATCATTATTGATGAGTCCTACCAAACGAGCAAACGAGAAACAGACCAGAAAACGACAAACTAGCCACTAAAAATGGCATACCCAACATCTGTTCTTTATTTATTTCCTCCACAAGACTTACCAAATTCTAGTACTTTTTTTTTTTTTTTTAAATATATTGTTTTTTTTTTTTAAATTTTTTTTTTTATACTAACACAGATTGTGGTTCTCAATTTGCACGTAGCCCTTCAGTTGAAAGAAGCTTTTTAACCGCCTTCGCCAGCTGTGTGTTGACTGGACTTTGGCGTTGACCGTGGAGCAGCTTATTTACTATTGAAATTTGAACAAATATTCAAATGATTATAACTTTCTTCAAATATGACGAATTTTCAATCTGAAAGCAGATTTGGAAGTTTTGTGAAGAGCTTTTCTAATCAGTATTGAAATTACAAAAAGTTATAAGAAATAACAAATTTAGATCAATTAACGAGGAAAATTCGAGATGAGCACGAGTTTTTACACTTTCCGAAGCAACAACTTGCTTCATTTCGTCAAATTCGAAAAGTTAATATGGCAGACAAAACTAGAAGATTTTCTCTATCCAAACCGTTGCTAAAGCAGCTTCTATACGTCCAGTATTCAAAAATGGCCACGTTGAGGATTTTCGCAAAATTAACGAGGAAAATTTGTGATGAGTGCGAGTTTTTTTACTTCCTAAAGCCATAACTCCCGTTCAAACTCATCCAATCCGAAAAGTAAATACGCCATCATAAACTAGAAGATTTGCTCTATCAAATGCTTACTAGAACTGCTCCAAACGTCCAGTATTAAAAAAACGGCTACGTTGAGGATTTTCGCACGAGTACCGCCGAAAGGTACTTTTTCGCTACATTGGCACTATTTCAACGGCTGTATATCCTTTTAAGGGCGATTATGTACTAAAGTAAGAGCAGATTTGGAATCACTGCTTTTCTCTTTCTAAGAAAAGTGATTGATTAGCGTTTCTCAACTTTAAAGGTTACATGTTTATAAATTTAACCCTGAAGAGTCCGTTAACGCAATGTTGAATGGTGTACACCTCCCTGTAAATGCGCACGGACACTTTCAGAATTCTCTCGATTGTTCCTGAATTGAGGTTGTTTGTCCAAGGAGCCGTAGTTGAAGCGCGCGCAACAACTAGACCCTTTCTCGGATGCGCCGTGTACCTCACATCCCTTCAGATTCGGGGTCTTACTTGAAAGATGAAATATCTCTTGGAAAGCGTGCGAAATTCAGATTCTTTAACTTGTGTGGTGATAAAACACTGAAGTAACTAAGAATTACCGGACGCCTCAGAATCACGAAAATTTTGTGTGGGTGAAATATCATTTTCATTGGAAATCCTCTGGCCTGGCATCGACTCATCCTTGATATTTGTCTTCCGACGGTGATGATCCCACTGCATCAAAATGGCTCGATCTCTTCCACCCAGCGGGCCAATACGACCCCCCCCTGCGACGTGTCGAGGATTCCTCAACGCACGCTTGACCCTGCTCCTCCCCCCACCCCAACCACTCCAATCTAACAACTCACCCCCCCACGCGTTGGCACTTGTCGCGCACGTTAGGGTTGACCTGCTGCGAGGCAACCGTTTTCATTGCCGACGGTTTCTAACATCACGGTGAAGGAAAACAACGTAAATCAACCTTTCTTAAAAAATATTTCTTACTTTGTTTTTTGGTAAACTACGAAGTTATACGATTTCCTTGTACACCTGGAGCCGCAAACTATCGTTGACGTCGTTCGTCCAAGGGTTAGAGTAAACCGAAAGCCTTGGTGATTCATCGTTTTGTTCTCTAGGCATTCTCGCATATACACACTATTACAGCGTCTGTTTTCCTTTCTTCCTTAGAAAGGCTTCCCTTAGTTCCTAGAAAAGCAGAAATTATGTGCTTCTCTGTCTGCACTATCACGCTTGGTTGATGACCACTGCCCGTCGTCGTTGGATATTTTCCCGCAATTACACAATAATTCAAAATCGGCTTAGATTTAAACAAATTCGCAAAGAGTTCTGGCTCAGCGATTTACGCAGTGTTGTGGAGGTCTCTGTGATAGTTTTTTTTGCAACTAAATTGTTCATGTAACTGGTCTGTACTCGTATTGTAAAAGCTTTTGAGGAATTTACCGTGAGTCATTTTGCTTGATTACTAACTTGGGTGCTTTATACCTTTCTAGTCTGCTAAACCCATAAGTCTTGATTGCTTTAAATAGGTTCTCAGTGCTATGTGAGTTGGTGGGCAACCCGATTTTGAGTTGAAGGATTTGGGGAAGATTATTGAAATTACCCGAATTCCTGTTTTCTCTAATGCTTAGCTTGTAAAAAGAAACTCTAGGACACGCCTTACTACCAACTCTCGATATCGAGTATAAAGCTGAGAAACATGCCCCATACGACTCACATAACATCAAATATTTCTTCTAAAAATTGTGCTTTAGTGGATGAGGGTAGGCAAGCAACCTCAGCAGAAGCGGCTCAACGCGGGTCCTGACGAGTACACATTTGTGGAATGTGAGTTCAACGATTCCTTATTGGTGAATAATTTTGTGCCCATAAATTATTGAACTGGGGGGGGGTGCCCTTGAGTGGGTACTTGATATCCGTTGGGATAAGCGTGTCACTGGAAGTGACGTGCACTTGATAGAAGTGATAAGCTGTTGCCAGCATGCTTTGCTGATATCCAGCGATGTATGTTGGAAGCAGCTTATCCACATAGTTTCTATCAAGTGCACGTCACTTCCGGTGACACGCCTACCCCAACTCTCGGATATCGAGACTACGGTAACTGAACTAGAACAGTTCGGATTGGTTAGGAAATTCAATAATGGTATTCCTTTTTTACACAAAGGGGTGTATATGCGTAATCTTGGAAAAAATAGCAATTTTCTTCAGTGGACAAAGCGGTCTGCGAGGATCTTCATGCTGTTTTGTCTCGCTAAGCCGCAGAAGTAGAAACGTAAACTGACGCTGATCAAGCTAGAGAAGTCGTAGTTGTTATCTGTTTTTGATCCAAATTTTAATCTGAACTAATCATCAATCCTACCGTATATACAATTTTGCAATGACAGACAAGGGAGCCTAGGTAGCACTTATACGCAATATTTCCTGGATGGTGAAGAATCGGCGAGAGAATGTATATATGAGGTGCTCTCAAAAAGAAAAAACTGATTTGTTTCCAGTACCTTTCGGACGGATTCCCAGTAAGACATAGTTTGAAGCCCGAGTCATTTTGCTCTGGATGATCTTGATATCTTCGTACACTGAGTAGAAAGAGGAACCTCCAACAGCGTGGCCATTCTCTTTGCAATTTGCGATTCACGACTTGGCGAACTCGCGTTTTTTTTCATTGAGTAGATACGTATCGATTACACATTTCATCGTCGACACATATCTACTCCACACTAAAGCCGCTAAAGGGTGATTCGACCTTTAGCGAGTTTCTTCCTTATTTCGGAATTGGATCATTACCTTCTTGTCTCTTTTTCTTTTCTTTTCGATTCCCTCTTGTTCTTTATTTTTCTCCTTATGATCCTTTTTTCTTAATCTGATCGATTTCGCTTCCTTCTTCCCTTACTTCATTGCCTCCACATGCAGCTCCAGTACTCAGCCCCTCAATTTGCCTATACCAAAAAATCATTGAAGATTTGCTGTCAGTGTAGTTTTCAGATCTTCCATGACTACTGCAATGCCTTGGATTATCTTGGTTCCATTGTCCCTGCTGATGAAGTACGCCATGCGTTTGGAGCATATCGCTGCCTGGCTGCCTTGGTAACAGAAACGGATCTACTGCATGAGTTCGGAAACGAGAAGGTTGTGTTCTTTACTTCTTGACTCACTTTTCATCTTGAGGAAATGGTGTTTTGTTTCTAGGGTGACTCATTTCTGGCTTCAATGATCGCTGAAGATAACGATTTCCGCCTCATTTATGTGGGTGTCTTAGGTAACACCTACATTAATTGTTTTTCTATTGTTTCGTTATCAGGTGCTATGGCGTTGGTGCCTTAGTGGTGCAACGGAGTCTAAAGGTTTTGGAGAACTCGCTTATCAAATCAGCGATATCAAGGAGTTGTCAGGATTACCCAGGTGACTTCTTTTGTCGTTTTTTTTTAATTGTCTTCAACGAGCTGTTTCTTAGAACCTACATAAACCGAACGGTGAACGGGAAGAGAATCGGACCTGACCCGGATTCAATGCTCTCAGCTCCTGAGGATCCTAATCTCGAGAAACTTACACGTGTAGTGTTCAGTCTTCTTCGATGTGGACGTTTTGAGGAGGTCAGCAAGCTGCAAATGGTTATCCACAGATTTCTATATGCATCATTTTTCTCTTGAGATGGTCTTGGAGCAACTTTTTCATTAATAATGTTGGCGTTTTTCTGCTTGTAGGGTGCACGAGTGTTCTTGGGAGCTACGTGAAGTGGGGAATCTCTTAACTTTCTGATAAATTCCTGCTTATGTGTTTTGCTATTTTGAGTAGCAGTAGAGGGATCAAATAATAATCTCACTACGAGAACTCTGATAGGAAAAGAGGTGAAACATCCGTACAAAAGGATCGAATTTCTACTTTTGCTCTCTTCTTTCCGAAGGACACATAGAGCTGATATGAAAGGAAGCAACTTGCACCTGCTTTGAGTAATCTGGAGCGTTTTTTGCGATATCCTTTTTGCACCATTTTAGGCAATGAAGTTAAGTGGCGATATGTATGTGCCTTGGTTGGTTCCGCTGATTCGGTCACAGCTGCTTCTCGTCGATTCAAGTTTAATCAGTGCTGAACTCACGAAGCAGGAAAGAGCCCGCTTTCACTTCAGGAAACTATTTTACCAGACTATGGTTAAAGCAATTTCCGAGGTGACTGTACTGTCATGAAGAAACTTGAGTCAGAAGCGATTAACTTTAGAGTAATACATCTCCAAAGAACCTTTGTGAGCTATAATAGTGACAAGGATGTTAGCGCATCTTGTGCTGGCAGTTGAAAAAGTGGGGCTATTGTTGGACGCTTCTGTCTGCACGGTAGTTCTAGAGCGCCACTTACGTGTTGGCCCAGCTCCTGGATCCTTCCTGTATCCATACAGGAATGAATTCTTCTTACCGCTATTGGATCAATACGATTTTGACTATTGTATGTTCTTCCTTGGACGTGCTCAACTGCGATCCTCTCGGGAATTTAATATATTTGGGAAAGAAGCCACTTTTTAGCTTCAGTAGGTTAGTTCAGTTAAATGTCTTCTTGTAAGGACCAGGAACTTTTTTCAGACCAAATATTCAATGGGAATTCGAATGGTGTTTGCTGCTATTGCAGGAGATTGGCAATTTCTTCTCCCTTTAGCCGTCACTGTGGATGACCGACTTTGGTGCTATGCTAATTTGCTGCTGTCCAGGTCGACAGAGGTAATGTTTTGAATTATTATACGAACTTCGGATTTCGGTGCTAACTTAGTTGGGGGGGGGGGGCACGCGGCGGCGCGGCAGTCTGCTCGCCTGGCATGTTCGGAAATCCGTGGGCCAGGGGGAGTGTAGCCAGCCTAGGGGGTTGGGGGGTGGGGGCAGTCACTTGACATGCGTGAAAAGCTGGAATGTTCGAGTTTACACTGTCTCGCTCGAGAGGGCCCAGGTGAGCAGACTGCCGCGCCGCCGCGTGCCCCCCCCCAACTAAGTTAGCACCGGATTTCTATCGATCATGATTTAAAATTTTGTTAGGCTAAATACTGCTCTTGGAATTGAACATCCGATTTTTGCCCCTACAACAGTTGAAGGAATATTTGAAGCCATAGCCACGGTATGTAGTTATTTTATGTCACTCTTGCCCCTTATTTTTTGATAGTGCCTAATGACTTCAGTCGGAGCCTTCTCCATATTACATCCTCATGAGCTATATGATGAGAGGTGCGTGGGAAGAGGCGGTCGATTGGATGTATTCGTATTGTCTGGACGTTGAAAGAAGCCGGGAGCAAAAGTACAGTCGCTGTACCGTTTTTTCGGTCTTGTCACAAGTGTATGCCGTATTTTGAAAAACGAGCATGATGTAAGTTGTTAAGTGAAAAGCATTAATTGCTGTCCTTAACCACTTCTGGCTTCATGAGCTTCTAGTGGTATTCAGGAGAATCATGGCAAAAATCTTGTCGGCCGTATGATTGACGTTTTGCTCCAGAAGCAGGTGTTTAGCCTGATTCCGTTTTATGCGGCGCTTTTGCCGAAAGATGACGCTCTGAAGCGTATTTGGGATGTAATGCCACGTGAGTTATCGATACCATCAATTGTTTTTTTTTTTTTGCTTTTGGTTGGTAGCATATATATGGGTTTATTTCACTAAAGCTCACATCATACTTGCTACTCACTGGTCGATGCTGCTTTTGGGATAATAGTCAACGGCTTGCTTTAAAGTGAACGGGTTTTGAGCTGTGCTCCTGTCACTGTTTTTTATGTCCACCCAGAACCTAACAAGAATCCACAGAAGGCCGATGCTTCTCTTTCATACGAGGGCACAATTTCCAAGTTCATCTTTCGTAGAATAAACATCGATGAACACTCAGAATGGCATGACCTGATTCTTTTTGAGAGAAAGTCTTACAAGAAAATTGAATCGTAAAATGCCAGACTTGAGATCTTGTTAGGAATACACGGCTTTTCCTCTCCCCGTTGGTCTCTAGTACTGCTGCCAGTCTGAAAAATCATGAGAAACGGTTATTGTTCCTGTGAATGATGCTCTCGACTTTTTACTTGGGATCGTTTAAGTCGGTTCGGGTTATTTCTCGAAGCTTTCAGATTGTGTTTATTAGTCATTGTCACTTTATCAATTAATCCTCTCACATCACGCCGTTGGAAGTAACGACGCTGCCATCGGCATGCGCTCTGCATTATGCGGCCTCGACGATGCTGGCTTTTCGATGTCAGGAGCACATTGCATTCTGAGTTGGGGTAAATCCCGGTCGTTGACAGTGAGTGCGTCTCATCTCTTTATAGAGAGTTTTAGCTGCTAATATAAGAAATTATCATTGCAGGGAATATGTGGTTGACATGGCGATCTTATGCGCTGATTAGCGCCTGTGGCGACAAGAAGCTTCTGAATGCCATCGCCGAAACCAATGGTGTTCTGCGCTATTATTTGCGTAAGCCTTCACTGATGAATTTAGAATCCGTGCGTTAGTCTTCAGTTGTTGTTTGCAGTAGGTGATATGGAAGATGAGGCGAGCGCTCTGATCGATAGGTGTGAGCAGTTGAAATTGGTGGATCGCCTTGCTGCACTGGTAAAGAATGAGAACAGTGATGAAACGTCACAATGGGCAACTACAGCGGGTATTGCTATTGACGAGTACAACAATCACTGCTTATACTTGGTATGTACTAGGAGTTGATGGAAACAGAAGTGATTTTCAGTAGAAATTAGCTGTAAATTTTCACGAGAATTTTGTAGAACGCTCAAGCTCATTCTACCAATTTTGCCGATGTGGAATGTGCAAGGAGCCCATTGAAGCGCGGCGAGGAAGCGAGATGAATTTGAATGTGGATGAGTGGTCTCGCAAGGTGAATCGTGGAGTAGGTTTGTCGCAGCGAACTGGCTTCGCGCTGAGCACAACCAGACACTTGTTGAACGCTCCAAGCTGGCCCTCGATGCGTGCAAAGCGGTGAGTGACGACATCAAACAGTGAATTTCAGTTTGTTCGATGCTATGTGGCTGAAGGTTTTTTTTCTAGCGAACATTTGATGCGATCACAGCGTTTGTGCGACATCCAGGCTGGAGGTCAGAGACAGAAGAGGTTAGTGTATCCCCTAGTGCAATTTGGTCGACAGTTGTTGATGGTTTTGCACTACTTCTCTACACTTAGAATGTTCTCACCGTCGTCAGACGAGCCACAAACATTTTTCTTAGGGGAAAACTTTGCTGACCTCATACTCGCAAATGCCGTTGGGAAACCGTATGTGATGCATCTCCAAAGGGCGACAATGTAATACACAATCTAAGACAAATAATGGGAAAGAACGAGCTCGAGGATCAGATACAACGCAGATTTAAATGGATGAAAAAGGCACTGAACAGCGATCACTGAAGTGATATCTGATGCCCTCTCATGGTCTACTCTATCTCACCCAACGAATATTTTCTTCGATATGACTTCTACTAGGATTGTTGCTTTAAGGATATTTAGATAACCGGTGGAAGTTACCGCGTTGCTTTTCTTTCCTTCTGATTCCAAGTGCTGACCTCATACCACAAGTGAGGACAGCCTTCACAAAATGTACATGTTTCATGCTATTGGAATGATTAGCCGGTTGCAGTTGTATTCTGTCAGCTATCATTAATCCATAGTCACCAGATTCACTTGGATGCCGTTGTCACTTGTGTTGTGTGGGAGCATGCCTTACCAGGGAGAAGCCTCTCTCCTGTTCGGAGAAACATACCTTACGGCCCCAGTTGTCAATCGCTAAAACAACTGGGCACAACGCAATACTTTTTTGATTAAAATGATAAGCTAATTTTTTCCTATTAATGCAATTTTGTTGAGTGATTACCTATTTGTAGGACTGGGGCCGATCAGAACAGCTGAAGGCACTGCGAGAGCGATGTTATGCGAATATGCTAAGTGTGCTGATACGTGATCTGAGAATGTGTAATGACACCGATACTGTCTTAGACGTTCTTGCGGTGCTGGCTGACGAAGGACTAGAGCTTTATAAGGTTTGTAAGGTTTCGTTTTTAATTCATTGCGGTAATTGATTACTCACTAATGTCTTCTTACAATTCGTTTTAACACCCTATTGAAGGTAAAAGAAGACGGTCCTTCGTTGTGGAATACGCCGCCTTTGAATTCTCATAATGGCTGGGATGAGTGCGCAGTCGAAAGAACTCGGCCTCAGTAGGGCACTGCGATCCACTGCCTTGCTTAGTAGCAGGGTGGACCAAGTGTTTCCCATCCCCCTTCCCTCTCTCCCAAGCTTACCTTGATGACTTCCCTTTTCCGCTTTTGGATCCTACTCCCATCGTATTACTCCTCCCTTTCGGTCTATAATACATATAACTTTACTTGATTTCACCCAAAAAAGTCCATCATGGGGTAATGGAAAGGGCTATGCTTCTTGCGGTTTCATAAAATTTCTTAGAAACTCATAATCTTACCGAAACACCCCGTTTCTTCTCTCCAAAATCACACTTTTAATTCACGTGGTAGGATAGCTCTCC